GACGTACATAGTAATCAGTATTAAATTAAATGTTAAAATGTTTTGAATTCAAGAAACAAATAGGGAAGTGGGTAACATTGAGCTGTACATAGGTGTCTATCGAGTCACTGTAGCAGATGTGTTCAAATTGTTTGAATTCAATGATATAAAATCAATATAAAATACGAAATTTAAACGATTTTGAGCAAAGACGTTCAGCCTATAATATTACTAAGTATGATATTATTGTGATTAAAGTAATTAACTTTACTATAGAGTAGGCGATATTTGGAAAAAAATTGCATTTGAAAATGTCATTGTGTATTTGTGTGCATAAAATTTAATAATATACGTACTCCAAAACTATCAAGTACCCACAAATAATATTTTTTAATTATAAAAATATAACCAAAATTGTTATTCTTTGTTATATAATATATAATTCCATCCAGTTTTGAACTTAAAATAACTAAACAAAAAAACTCTGTTTATGTACTTTTTATATATTTTTTGTTACAGACTGAACTACTTAAGTGTAACTTTGTTTTAAATTTTCTATCCTTAGCTATAAAAGTTGAATATTTGATACATTTTTAACTATACAATTATTTTCAATTTTGAATTTAATAAATGTTGTAAAAATGTTTACTTTTAATGCTTATAAAAAAAATCGTGAACATGTTTTCAATATTTTTAAACTTATGTTGGAATAATAAACCAGGAACCTTGTATAATATTTTCGAATGAATACAATTTTATACACATACAAAAAAAAAAAAACTAAAAACTAAAAAAATCGAAAATCGAAAACTGAAAATGTTAGTATACAGCTCAAAACAAGTTAAAATATTTTGAAAATTTTTTCAAGTATAAAAAATGATAAAATAAATGTATGACGCAAATTAGTAAAAATAAGGTAGATAAACTGTAGGGGAAACTTGTATTATATTTTTATCTTACATATAAAAAAAAACATATATATACATTTCTAAATCAATATAATTATTCATATGTTCATGATTTTTATGAATTCTTACTTAAAGCGCTCATAAAAAATTATTGTGGATTTACCCTCAACTTTCATTTTAATATGGTACCATGAACATTGAGAGAAATTAATTTAAAAGAACTATTAATAATTGAACATTTCATATGCTTATAAATAGCTCAACATAAGTCATAGGTAATATTTTGAAAATTGTATGGTGTATATCAAATGCTAATATTAACATTCAATGAAAGTTGTATGTACCTATGGTAATTTTTTTTAGAGTTACACCAAAATCCAAAATTGATTTGAGTAAAAATTCTCGTTTTTCCCTAATTTTTTTTTTGAGTTTCTAGATGCTTTTGAAAACGGCTGGATATTTTAAATTTTGAACCAACCTCCCGTATTCACTATCCAGGTCCACTCTTCCTCCGGAAAAGTTGCTGAAGTTGAAAATCGAAGCATTATTTCGAATATGTATCGTGTACACAGACACCAAAAAAAAAAAATTTAAACAATTAAATTTAATAAAAAAAACCTCCCTAAGCTGACTATTGTTAGTTGGTTTTAAATTAGATCACTTAATTCATCTTCTTCATTCAATTCATCACGTTCTTCTTTTATTCGTAAATATATTTTTAATTAAGACATAAAAGGACACCTTTTATTAATACAATTTCAAAAGTTTAATTTTTTTTTTTGGTTTAGTCAACAGCCATACAATTTTGGAACAGATAATTTGCTTCACTTTTTAACATTATTGGGAACAACTACATTGGCGAGAATATTTTTTTGGGACGAACATTTTTAAGGGGTTTGCAAATTTGTCAAACAAAATATTTTGGTATTTATTGTGAATTATTAAAACTATTGAAAATGAAATTGATTTATAATAATGATATCAAATTTATCGAACTTAAAATATCTATTATATAATTTTAAGATTTTTGGTTTCACTATTAAATATTTAAGAGATATCTAATTTTAAATTTCCAATCCTTTTATTTCACTATTATGCACAAAAAAAAAAATATTTAGTAAATAAACCGAGTATATTGTCTCTGGTATTCAGAAGTTATCTAAAAACGTTTATCTTGAATTGGTATAATAATAATTATCCAATATTTGTATTGGTATTTGATATTTGGTACTTTTTTCATTTTTTTAAATTCATATATTTTGAAAACACGACATAGTTTCGTAGTAACACTTGTAACTCATATATTTTATCATTTATTTTCATAAATCTATAGATGGATCATTCAATAGAGTATGACATTTTTGTATGGTTACAGCATTTTCTGAATCCAGTTTATTAAAAACTTTAAGTATATCAGTAAGATGATCTGCATCATAAACAGCCGCATCTAACCAAGTTCCCCAGCGTGTTACGTGTTGTGGGAAGTGGCACTACCGGTGCTTAGTCTTTATAAATTTGTATTCCATTTGGTGCTTTTAAAATTTTTTTTTTGCATTTGATATTAATTCGTCAACTTTTTTAAAACTACCCCTATTTTCTCAGCAACACGGTCTTGTGCATGTGCTAAACATGTCACATGTACTATCTTAGAATACAAAGCTTTTAAACTATTGGCTGCTTTTACCATATATGGCGCAGCGTCAGTTAGAAAGAATAAGACGTTATCATGAAGTACATTGTTTGGTCATTATAAATGCAGTGATTTATCAAATAACTTACTAATAGTTGAAAATTAATCCCTTTCCGACTGTTCAGAAGTTAGCAAAAAAAATGTATTTTGTTCGTTTTCTTGTAGTGTGCCAACTACTCCATTTGCTATACAACGGTCTTCGCAAATCAGTTGTTTCTTCGATTGAAACTTAAATTTTCTTGTCGGTTACATAACTTCGAATTATTTTAATAGTTTTTTGAAAGCACTCTGATAAATAGTTTTTGAGCATTGTTGATTCATCGGGTATTTCTTTTCCTGTATACATTTCCAAAAAATCACGAAAAATAATTATTTATTGATATGTTAGCTGAAGTCAATGCTTTACATAAATCTAAGTTGAATGATGGCATGTAAATTCGGCAATAGTCATCGACCAACGAAATATAAAAACGTCTACATTTTATATTAAATAACATTGCTGGTATTTGCCATTTGGTATTTTACAATGCCAAAATGTCCAAGTTCAAAATTACCATCTCTTAGAAAATGGATTGAACCGTATAACAAATCAGGTGAGGTTTTCAAAACCTCAAATAATATCCAGTTTTTTGTTAGTATTGTAATAAAGTAGTTGTAGTAGAAAAAAAGTTTCAAATTGATCAGCACCTTAAGTTATTTACACACGAAAAATATTCGAAAAATCCCACTTCTAAACAAACAACAAAGAAGTTTGGGAAAAATGTGGCAATGAAGTTGCGTGATCTGAATAGAGAACAGCGTATTTTGGCCGAAAATATTATTAACGAAGCTCTATTCCTAGCGGAAAGGGAAATTGACTATAAGCCACAAAATATCAGGTCCTTCGTATAATACATCTTATACACCTTCGCCAATAACTGTGGCTAACTGAGCACCAATGCAACAACAATATGCCACACTCACACATAAACCATCGAAATTCAAACACTGCAGCATCAGAAACAGCATTTCAGCCATACAATTTAGAAAACAATCCAACACCCATACAACTATCAATTTCTGAAGTACCCATAACTTGTGAAGAACAAAATATAAACACAGCAGCATTATATTTGTCTCAGTTGGGGAAAGATAATCCTCCGAGTTATAATAATAGTGAAGACCCTATAAAATTTAAATTTTAAGTGTATAAGTAAATATATTATATAAGTATAATATAATATACAAATCATAATAAAAGTATATGTAACAAATGTTCAAAGTTTTTATTACCTTTAATGAACTTTGGAAAGAACTTCATACATAGCTTCACACGTTTCCGGTATTATGCTGCTGAGAGCTTAAAGAGAAATAATAGTACATTTCAAATCTTCGTAGGTTCTACCAGTTGCTAAAAATCGTAATGTCGCTATTAATCTCTCATGTGGCTAAATGGCTTTTCTCATAACCGTATCATTTTTTCTGAAGAGTGGAGTTACTATAGACAGTAGATTGAGAAGGCTGGGTATTATCATTCTGAGATAATTGTGCCAATCCTTTGGACAAACTTTTAGTTCTGTTAATTAGTTAACAAGGGAATATACATTTCTTTTTTTCAACTATTATTCACACTACTCACTCTTTACCTTTGTTTTGTTTTTTTTTATTCTTCAAAATTAATAATAGGGCAAATATAACTAAAACATTGTCCTCAAATGACATCTTGTTAATCAGAACTACACAACACAACTGAAAAAATGATAATTGTTTTCAGTTAAAAATGAACATGTGTGTACATGTGGGATGTCAGTTTTAGCTACAGTTTTTACTGAACAGTTACAACTGTCAATCAAAACTGATCGTGTGTAACTGTATGTTATCATCAAAATATTGATATCGTGAAAGCAATTTGACGTCAGTATTATTGTAATATTATATTGTAACTATGTATTATTGGGCGCCCTTCATCATTTTTATTTTATGTACTTGCATTGTTTCTATATATCCTGTAAAATTAATATAGTTTTGTCATACGAAGGTGCATCACATTAAAAATAGTAAATCAATGAATGTTCCTGTATAAAGTTACCGTCCATCTGGGTGTATAAATTTGCAATTACCATCCCAGGCCAACCGCCTTATTGTAAGAGGCGGGTGGTACACAGAGGTCAAACGAAATTTCCAAAATCTATTAGAGTTCTAATTAACTATTATAAAGAAGTTTGACAGATGAGTTCTGATTTTGACATTGTTCTTAACTTTTAATACATAGGTAATAACATAATAGATGTACCTAAACCTACTCCCTGTATGATAACGTTTCCACGTTTCCAAAACAGTTTGTTTATTTATTAGTTAAAGTATTAAAATATGCATCGGTTTTATCCAAATTTAAACAATTTATTAGATTTTAAAAATTACTTGATTGAATTAAAGTTGTCGAGATGTTGAAATCAGAAACACAACTGCCTGCAATCATAGAATCTGATAATACAACAAGTATAGAAGTCATATCGTTGGATCAAAAACTGTCTACAGCATTCTGTAAAATATGCTATTCTGGAGGAAGTTGTGAACAATTAATACATCCTTGTTTTTGCAAAGGTAATTCCATTTGCATGTTCCAACTATTGAACTAAGCTAATAAACAGGGTTTTTATAATTACTTATGTTGACATAAATATTTGCTTTTTAAATACTTTTTTTTAACAATTATCATTGTAGTTTTATTTTAACTATCAAAGACCCTAAATCAATTTTTTAATCTATTCTTTCATCACAGATTTTGTTCCGTCATTTGAATGTAATATAGCCAAACAATAAAATTACGACTTAACTTTATGTTTTAACGCAGTTCATTTTTCACAAATAAATAACTTTTTGATATTTATTATTATTTTGAGCAATTAATGAATTATCATCATCATTATCTAAAAAACAAATTTTTGAATAATTGTACAATTACTTAAAAAAACAATATGCATTATAATTATTTATTTAAACCAGTTAGGTAACCATTGAACTAATAGGTTATACTGAATAATAATATGCCTAAGATATTTGCTTGGTTTGAAGAAAGACAATTCTTGACCATTTTATTATTATTTTTATTTTATTGTTCAAGACAGCAATTCTCAACCGGGGGGTCGCTAACAATTATTTTAGGATCGTCAATCCATGTGGGAAAAAAATTGTTTCACTTAGAATCTTGTAATTAATAAGTGTTATAATATATATATATATTTTTGGATACCTAGTCCGATAGTCGATAAAAACGTTCGTTGAAGTGTACATAATATACCTTTTTTTGTAAAATATATACACAAATAAATACAATAATAACAGTTAGTTCAATTTTTTAATGCTTACATTATAAAAGGGTCGTTGGACATCTTGGTGACATTATAGGGGTCGCGAACTCAAAAAGGTTGAGAACCGCTGGTCCAAGATAATTCTAATACACACGAGTATGGTTTGTTCCATTCGTATTTTTCATAAAATACACTCGGTAGTGTCGATCATAGACTATTTATATTTAATTTGTATGTATTTTATGTAAGTGTATTTAATATTACAGCTATTGTAGAAAATCTTTCACTAATATACATTTCTAATAACAAAAAATTCAACAAATATATTGAAAGTATTTTTAAACCTGTATGCCAAGAAATATATAAGTAAGAACATTTTGTTTGTTTGGATAGGATCGGTTGGTAATATACACCTAACATGTTTAGAGCGATGGATCAATGAATGTGGTATTGATCGGTGTGAACTATGTCTTTTTCAATTCACGTCTGACCAGACACGCCGATACACAGTTTGGCAATCTTTAGTGATTTGGACAAGAAACCCAGTCCATCGAAGCTTACTAATTTCAGACTCTATAGTCATGGTTGTACTAACGATTGTGATGGCTTGTCTGATTACATCTGTGGTAATGGGCATGACAGTATTTAGTACTTCGAAGTCTGACAGGTAACACTACCTATACACACGTGTTCATAATATAAGAAATTGTATACGATTAATATACCTACTAGTGAAATAGGTACATAAGTATTGGTAGATTAACAAATTAAATAAAATGTTTCCAATCGCTCCGCCCTATAACATCTGCCTGGTGCCCGCACGTTGGCTGTTACTCAGATAGTGTTTACCCATTAATTATAAATATTATAGATCACTTACTACAAACGAAATTATGATGCTTGAAAAATAAAGGTCAAAAGAATTTAATCAAAACATTTAATTATATTAATTTCCAGTATAATATTTTCAGCGGTAGTAGAAGTATAACTGAGGGGCCTCAATGCAAAACTTACTTTTTTATTTATCGCATTTTTCAGTAGAGCAGGTTTTCTGTTTTGAGTATTTTTAATCGTAGTAGACCATCGCGGAGGGTTTTAAAAAGTTCTAAAAAATATTCTTATATTGGATATAAATTAATTTCTTATCTGTTTAATTTATTTCTTGCATTTTTTTTAATATATAAAAAATTGTTTTTCCCAAAACGGACCTTTTCCGAAATTTTCTTTTTTTGCATTAAATTTGGAAAAAGTAAGTTTTAGAAAAAATTTTTAAACAAAATGCAGTATTTCCGAAAAACGAATATTTTGTAAATCTATTAATTTAGTCCGTTTTTCAAAAATAACAAATTATTTTTAATTTGAAAAAAAATAAAGAATTAAATTGCAAATAATATTAAAGAATTGGTAATAATATAATAAAACATTTTTAAACTTAATTTACACTTTTATTTTGTTTTTTTGTTTCATTTTCCAACAATTGGTAAAAATATTATACAATATAATAATAACAACATAATATAACAAAAAATATATAACAAGTAGTATAACAATACATTCGTTTAATAACATTTTTATTAGTATTGTAAAATAATTTATTTACCTACCTTGGTAAAATATCAAACAATATAATAATAATAATAAATAACGAAATATATAATGTGCAGTACCTATAACAATACATTTTAGTTATATTTTTGAGTTTCAAAATATAAAACAATAAATTATCAACTAGAAATTAGTTATTTAAACATATTTATTAAAGTGTATCTTCTTCAAATTCTTGGCAATATTCTTCAGCTGATGATTTAGTGACTTCATCGTTTAAAATATCATCATAATAATCTTGAGCATCGGGTGGTATATTGAAATACTTTAACAGTTTTTTTACATCATCCCTTTTCTGTGGTTTTACATGACTAATTTTAGTTAGGGTAGTTTTTCACCTAATCCTACATTTTTCAAATTTCCATTTTATTTAGTAGAGGAATTCGTATTGGTTCTCCTTCGTATGTCTGAGAAATACCAACAGTCTTTTTTTTTAATCGCTTCTTTATAATCCATAATAGAGTAGTCCTTATCAGAAATTTTGATTATGGTAAATTTTTTAACAACGTTATAATATTCTTCAGGAAAAATTATATTTTCCATCTGTCTAAGGTCTTTCTCTATTCGACCGAAAACTTGGTCCGGTGGCATATAGCTTGGTACACTGATTGGAAAATAATGTTTGATTTGTTTAATAATTTTGGCCTTAAAGTTAACAAAATGTGTAATAATGAAATCATTACATTTTGGTTCTTGTTGTGTGCCGAACAGGATTCAGAAAACAAATTGAAAATAATGAGAGAATTGTTTGACTTTGAAACTTGAATCCATAAGCGCAGATGCAACTTCATTTGGACCTCTTCCACTTTGATTTCTAAGCCATATGAACATATAACAACTATCAGAGTTTCATTTTTTGAGTTTAAAACAAATGTAAGATTGTAGAGGCATACTTGTCTAGAATAAAAGGTATCAGTTACACTTAGTTTTTTTAGGGGATGATTTCGCATCATGTCAAAGCTGACATTAATAATAGATTTATTGTCTGTTTGTTTCATGAGTTTATGAAAAACCTTACTACGCTGTTTATGGAATTAATTTTTATTATTTGCAATTAATTCAAATTTAATTTTTTCGTCAATTGCATTTTTATTTTTAATTCTTCCTCAGTACAGAAGCTACAAACTTTGACGGGGGTGACCGGATCCTCCAAAACTATTATAAACAATATAAACTAACTAGTAACTATAGTAATTTATTAATAACACAAAACGAGCAAATTTCTAATTAGAAATACAATTTTGGAGGGAAATGGTAACATATCTCACATTGTAATGAAGTTAATAACAAGATTGGTACATCATATGAACATCTGAAGTACCTACACAGAATTTTAAATAAACGCATGGCATAAATATAATTATTAGCAATTAAATTAAATAAACTTAAATTAAAATTATAAATAAAAATGAAAATACCGTTTTGGGGGAAAAAAAAACATTTGATGACTTAATACAAATGAGTAGGAATAGGAACGTTTTGTTTCATGATGGAAATAGACCATGTTTACCAATAATGAAGGTAATAATAGTCTTTTGTGCAGTTCTTCTGTTTTGTTTTACGTATGTAAAGTATACTTTTAACATTGGAAGAGAAACGTTTTGCAGAAAACGCAGTTTTTCTATCATCGTTTTCTTAAGGGAAAAGACTATTTTGGCTTAAAATGTGACCATTCGAAACCCCACATAATTTACCATAAGAATCAATGTGTAGCTCAATTTTCTTAAAAATGGAAAAAGTATATTTTGCATTGAGACCCCTCAATTTTGAGAGTATAGACAAAATCACGCAGCAACTAATTATTTATGGATAGGGACTAAACAATATAACAGTGTATAGTGACAGAGTTAATCTGATCTAATATCCTATAACCTATTTTAAAAAGTATGTGAAATGTATTCGTTCTTCACCTAGTGTGTTACCGGAACTTCTCACTCCAAAATAAGTATACTAATCTCTATATTATCTAGATCATAATGGTTGAATCAAAATATTTTTATCTTGCTTAGTTATGAAATTATGGATTTAGTAAGCAATAGAAATTTACTAAAAATTAGTTCCTAACCTAACCTAGGAAATGCTTGTTCTTCTGAGAAGCACCGGATATACTCATGGTAGCCAACGTGTTAATGCCACTATTACATGCAAGCGCTAGAGGTAAATTGTCCAACTGTTTTTAATAGTGATAGACACATTTTAATGGTACTTTAGTAATAACGGCAACCATAGTATCTTAGGTGTTAATAAGTTAATTTAGTATCTTGTGTATGATTCAATAAACAGACATATCAGTTAAAATTTAATTATCACAATGATAAATTAATCTATATTAAATGTGCACAAAACATACAAATATAATATAATCATTTTTCTTTCATGCATTTTAGCATTAGTTCCAAGTCTAAAAATCATTTCAAGTATTATCTGGCTGACATACTAGCGTTCAGTAAACAAAACACTAAAATTATTTTATTATTCTTCAAAATTTCTATCAATAATATGAACAATGACATCACTATTCCAGGAGTCAATTGTAGTAATCAAATTCAAATACAAGAAAAATTATTGCAGACCCTTTTAAATTAATGTGGTGTATCATATATTCAACTAAGTTTTTGGTTATGTATTTTTGTTGTTGAATTGAAGTCAGTTCCTCCCAGAAAAAAAATTTGGGTTTGGGGTTCCTTGCTCACATACAAGAACCAGTTGGTTATAATCTAATATCTAAAATTTATTTTATACTGATTAAAATACACAAATCATTACTGTTAACACAATTGTTAGTTAGAAATATCATAGTGGAAATTGTCTGTTACTAAACTCTGTGCTAGGAGAGAACATTACAGTTTTGCGCAGGCAGACTAACGGCAGCGACCACAGTTCTCCTCCCTTTGTATAGATTATTTCTTATTTATATATTACGGTAAATTACGTTAAAAAAAAATTAAAGTTATTCGCGTTGATTAACTTTATTAACCCAATACATAGGTAATTATTATTTTAGAGCAGATATACAAGGTACACTCAAATTCTATTAACTTAAAAAATGATATAGGTACATCAATCTTAACACGTTCACGGACATCTCACCTTTATCTACCTCAGAAAATTACTTTTTTATTACTGCTATAGCAGTATTGGACTGCTTCGTATATGTTTTTAAAGTTAATGGTCACTTTTATAGCAGTAACAGTATAAAATAAATTCAAAATTATAAGATAATAACTGAACTTAGTTTTTATTTTAAAAATCAATATACAAATTTTAAAATGTAAAAAGAAAAATTAGTTATTGCATGGTTTCAGACTGATTCATGATACAAATTAATTAAAAACATATTATCAATAAATATAAATAAATATATACTATGATAAATGAATCAACAAATATTTTTTTCTAATTGATTATCATTGGGCCATTTTTCGAAACATTTCCCTGGACAAAGTTATTTTCCAAAGACCTTATATTGCAATTTAGCGTCCGAAACACAATTAAATTGTATTACGGTTCGAATAATTCGGTTGGTATGATAATATCATTTATAAAGTAAATATCATTGTTAACCATATAAAAATAAAAATTCCATCAGAAAGTATAAAAATAAAACATTTTATGTAAAAAAATTTAATGTATTTTTAATACCATTAAAAATAGTACTGCATGAGCAGTAATGCCCGGTTTTGTAAATAACTGCTATAGCAGTAGTGACCCCTTACATCAGAGTTGAAAAAAATTTAAATTACTGCTCTAGCAGTATCTGACCACGAACGTGTTTGTCATTAAAATTAGAAACAATGCATTATTATTATTTGTTTATTTTTACAAACCAGTCTTGCAAGACCTTTGAGGTACCGCAACAGTACTTTAACTAGCTATTTACTTCAATGTCTAATATCAACCATCTGCTAATTTGATTACATTGTTTATATTTAACAGCTATGAGATTAATATTAATATTTTAGTTGTATTTGTTTTTTATTAAGGATTCGGATATTTATTGTTAATAATTAATTTGATGATGACGGCCCGTTATTTAAATATTTTGCTAAGATTTTCAAGTTTTTTTTAGGATCTTCTATTTATCAACTTACATTGTGAATTAATCGTGGAAACCTCTCGTGGAATAGACATATTTATTTAAGATGATGCGAAGTTTCTGGTTGTTTGTTATTGATAACAAGGGGCTGTTTCCTCAAAAACCTAAAGACGATCCAAATTGCTCGCTTTTCATATGTACGTACAGGTATCAATACTTTTAGAATGTTTGGAGATATTAAATTTAAATTTATGATTTATAATGACTATAAAAAAAATCTTGCCTATTTATATTTAATATTCTTAAATTATTTTGAATATTTTGATATGAATTTCAACAAAATATAATTTGCAAATGTTCTCGATTTTTATGAATTTTGCAGACATTTTTTTTATTGCCACAAATTAAAAAAATTAATCAATCGAAAACAACTCCAACTCTTAATAATACACACTAGAGAAAATTTAAAAATTAATAAACATATAAAGTAATACAACTAACGGCTAAAAACAATTTTACTTATTATTTATTTTAATAAAACCTTTAATTTTTTACATAACTTTTCTGCATTTCATGAATTTAGGATCTGGCAGATTTGCTTCAATCATTTCAGCATTTATAGTACACCTATCATCATCATTAATAGAAAATTCAGTTCCTTCTTTTTTCAGTCCTTGAATTACCACATCACCATCATCCATCATCCACGCTTGCGCACTAAACACATATATTGGAATCGCGTTTTATTCTGAAGCTCTCCATTAAATGCACTGATAGAAATTTACCATATTTCATACTTGCCCATAGAACAGTAAAATATTGTATTTTATTTATTTGTACATATGTGTTGCCATTTTGATCATCTAGTTTGTTGTGTATCACACCATCTAATTCAGTATCCACAGCTTCATCTGGATTGTCTCCATATTGTTTTTTTCATTGGTCTCCCCCTTTTTCTAGATGTTCTAATTGTTTTTGTATTTTTTTTTTAAGTTAGCTTCTTTCAATTCATCTAAAATTTCTTCAGTAGTCAGAACTGCTTCATATCGAGGTGTTTTAAGTCTTAGTATTACTTCAGTGACCCACAACATCGTTGAATTAAAATTTAACACGTCCATACATACAAGACACCTAATGTACAGCAGTGCAGTTCTTACCCACTAGCTAAACTTTTACTCGACATTGAAAAATAATAATTAGCCAAAAGTATTGTTGGACCAAAATCTCATATTTTTTGTGTACTTACCTAGTATAGGTAGTTATTATAAAAATAAAAATGGTATTATATTGATTAAATTCTTAATTCGCACAACAAAAACATAAAGTACATTGTCTTTTAAATTCTTTGTCAGTTTGTCAGTTTACTACCAATAGTATTTTTTTCTTCTATTACCATACTATATTACTTGTAAATTAGTTAAAAACGTAAATTGTATACACATTTTTTTAAATAAACCTAAAAACCATAAAAAAAATTATCAAAGTTCCCCCGTGTTATGCTATACTACAACTATTGAGTCCAACATTTTGATGGCATGGCACTTCACTTTGGACACTAC